CCCTCCTCTATCATCCCTCCTTGGTCCTCAGTCCTCAGTCCTCCGTGCTCAGTCATCCGTGCTCAGTCCTCCATCCTCCGTCCTCCATCCTCCTCCTCCCTCCTCGGCCATAGCCTCGGCCTTCGAGAAGGAAGGAGAAGAGTGGCCATGGCTATGGTGGACCTCACGTGGTGCCTGCAGTAGAAGAGGGAGTCGGACATTGATTCTGGTTCAGCCATTCAACATTATTATTATTATTATTTATTGTTTGAATAAGAGGGGAGGAGAAAAGGAGGAGGAGAGTGGTTGGCGAAGGAGGAGGGAGTTATCATGGATTCATTGGTCTTTGCTGGTGTACATCTTCTTCTTCTTCTTCTTTCTTTCTTCTTTCTTTTTCTTCTTCTTCTTCTTCTTCTTCTTTCCCTCTCTCTCCTCCCAAGTTCATTCATTTCTTTTTGCAATTGGACGGCATTGTACTTTCTCATGAATGTTGTACTTCGAAATCGTCCAGGGTCGTAACAGTAACAAGTACTAACAACTACTAACAAGAAGGAAAAAGCTCAGTTGACCAGATTCCCTGGAATCTTGAGATGAGCATAGATCAGAAAAAAAAAAAGAAAGAAAAAAAAAAGAGCACAGAATCACTCGTCATTTTGCCCTTTGCCGAGTCCTCTTTTTCCACCTTCAGAGGGCATACTCACACTAGCACTTTCTTACTTTTTTCTGGACGTAGTTGCAGCCAGATACATCCTGGTCCGGCTGTAAATGCGGTCAGATGCATTTAAGACGGTGCCAGTGTGAGTACATCCTGAAAGGAGGTAGGGAAGACACAGCAAAAGAAGAATAAGAAAGTTCAATAAACTAGGTTATGAAGAAAGGAGAGAAGGAAGAGCCGCCCATCGATCCTCCTAATCATTGAACATGCCAGAAAGCAGGGAGTCCGTGACCCGCCTATTCTTCCCCCTTAGACATGGAAAGAGCCAGGGTTTCAACGACTTCGAAATTTGAATCCTTCTGCTCATAAAACGTAAAAGTAGTTCGCAGCTTCGCAATGCATTGTAGGAGTTCTAGTAACTATTCCGTAATGCTTCACTAACTGTCTTTTACCCATCAGTAAAGTTGTGACATTGACGGAGCAGTGTTTGCCGTCACTCCTTCCCACTCTCTCTCTTTTCCACTGTCCTTTCCTCTCTGCCCTACTCCCTGCCTCTGTCCGCCGTCCTTCCTGGTTTCTTGCTTCCCTTTCTACTTGATTACTGATGTCCCTTTTTTCTTCATAACTTGGTTTATTGAACTTTATTCTTCTCTTCTCTTTCCCTTCCCTTGCCTCCTCCCCACCGTCCCCTCTTTCCCCCATACCCCCCCCGCCGGATCTCCCATAGCCCCCTCCCTCCCGCTGTCTCTTCCGCACCACATTTCCCTCCGATCACCTCCCTCTGCCCCCCCCTTTGTTCCCTGCATTTGTACTTCCTGTGCGTGACCGATCCTTCCTTCCTTCTGTATTCCCTCTCTTCCAGCTGACTAATGGTAATTCTCCACCCCTCCCCCCTTCCCCCCTCTTTGTCCCTTCTTCCTTACTGCTGTTCCTTGTTTTGTTCTGCTCCTGTTCTGTTTTCTTTTCCTCTTTGGTTTCTTGTCATGGTTGACGATGAACCATACACGCTGCTCTCGGTGTACTGCCCCAATGGGTTCCAGCAGCGAACCCAAATGGTGGAAAGCCTACAAGCGCTTTTGGATCCGCACTGCCACCTCATAATGGTAGGAGACTGGAATGCTACTCTGGATCCTAATATGGATAGGATGACAGGAGGTGCCAGGCAATGGGAATATGATGATACGTAGAGAGTTGTTATACCCGTACGGACTCTTTTTACCCAGATGGCAGACAATTCACCTACCACAAAAGCGACCAAAGTCAGCATGTGTCTGCATCTCGCATAGATAGATTACTTCTTAACCTCACGAGGCAGGGATAACATGCATGATCCGCACTGTGGGAATAGGCGACCTCCCCTTTATGATGGGGTTAGAATTGCAGGCCGATATTCTTACATCTTTTTTTTTTTTTTTTTTTTTTTTTTTTTTTTTTTACCTGTGAAAGCAATAGCTCTCCTTGAGCTTCCCTTCTTTTTTAACCTGGGCCGGTACATTCAATGCTGGAGGGCTGTAGAAAAACTGCCTTCCTGGCCAATGCTGCAGTTTTTTTTTTCTCTTTTTTCTTACATCTAATCACGGATAAGCGAGTAATCTCCCCAGGAGATGCCAAGCTTTCAAGAAGCGCACTTTTCAGCTGATAAGACAGTACATCCTATGGACAATTTGGAAGAGGCGTTGCAAGATCACCATCGAAAAAGGAGACCGAATGCACAGACAGGAAGGAAGGGAAGGGAGGATTCCTTTCTCAACCTTCTGGAAACGGATCTCCAAGCGCAATGGAAAAGGACGCAGAAGCAGAGAGCTCACAGCACCCAGACCAGGCGCAAGAGCTGAAGAACCACTTTATTCAGGAGGTTTGGGGCCAGAACAAGGTGGCGACGATTCAGGGTTCCAAGTTGTCGTTGAAATGGAGATCATAAGGAGTTAGTTGAAATGGGAAGGGGTTAGGAAGCAGAACGACTACCTTCTTCCCCCGAATACAACGTACGGTCATTATAGCTGTATCTAGACTGAAAGATGCGTCGAATACAGCTATAATGACCGTATATTGTATTCGGGGGAAGAAGGTAGGCGAGAAGGACAAAGGGATAGTAGGGGTTAGGGTTTAGGACATGGGTAAAAGAAAACACAGGGTTGGAGCTGGAGCAGGGTTTTGGCCATAGACGTAAGAGCAGGATTGGGTGTGTTTTGGATTTTGGGAGGGATGGGGAGGGCTGTAATAGTAAGGATAGGAAAAAAAAAAAAAAAAAAAAAAGAAGGGTACAGTGCGAGGTAGGGCTTAGGGGGGGATTAAGGGTTTATACTATATAGAGGTCAAAAGGTAAATGAAGACTAGAGCCACAATAGAATAGTGCAAGGAAGATGGGCAATAGCGAACTTCAGCAATCAAACAGCATCATACACATAAGACCAGATAGTCGTGACCTCGAACCAAAAGCAGAATCGCATCACGAGTTTCACCAAATAAGAACACACCAAAAGCTCATAATTGACAATGCTGGAATAGTCTCATCATCATCATCAACGAAGAACCAATGTTGATATCCTATCTGGCACTCAGCGCCCAGACTACAGATGGCAGATCCTATCTAGCCTACTCTACAATGCCACTGATGACGTCAACAGCTCCCCGAAGTACGAGCAGATCTCGGCCAATGCCGCATGCTTCAAGCACCAGGTATGTCTCTCACAACCTCGTTCCCCAACTCACAGATGCCACTTGCACCCAAGGACCACCATGCGCCCCATCCAGCATACAGCAGCGCAGCTTGGCTATTGCTGCCTGCTCCTTCCAGCTCGCCCGTGAGCGCGTGAGCCTGGCAGGCGATAGCGCAGCAGCGCTTGCGCACAAAGCAGCCAGTGCCCGAATCTCCAATGCGGAGGCAGGCCCTTCCCTATATCGAAGTGGCCTGCTGCTGCGTGCATTCGTGAGGTACTGGGCCCTGTACCAGAAGCTTCCGGTAGGCCCCACGAGGCTGAGCCTCAGTCCGAAGTAACAGGCCCAGGGCCTGTGTCGGTTACCAGCACCCAACTGCCCTCAGCCTTTCTTCGGTCCACTTTGTGTATCCGGCCCAGGGCCTGCCTCAGTTACATGGAATAGAAGGCAGCCTGGGCCTGGGCGCTTCCAACCAACTGGTGCTGCGCAACTGCCTGAATTTCCTCAGTTGCGTGGTGACCCCAAATATGGCCTGTAGGGCCTCAGTCGTGCCTGCCTTCACTTAGGGCGGCCGACAGTGTGAAAAATAGGCCCTGTAGGGCATGCCGAGGCCCTATGCCTCGCAATAGCTGCATTTGCTGTTTTTATTAGTCCAGTTTTGAGTTTTTGCTGAAGTTGAAGTGAAGGGATGTGCCGGACACGGTTTCTTTTTTTTTTTTTGTATTTGCCATTTGGACCATTTCTCGATTTATGCCTGTCATCCTCGATTGCGCAGGGGCCATGCTAATCTTCTTTCTCTGTATCGTTCCAATTTTAACGGATGTCCCTAAGGACACACTGGACCCGGTTTCCAGCGCAAGCCTAATCTGGGTATTGGCCCCAGCTCTATCCGGGTTGAGATGTTGATGAATTCCGGGCCTCAGTGAAAGTTATATAATAAAACTGCAACTTCAAAAAAAAAAAATCAAAAAAAAATCCGGTCTGATTCAGGTGTTCCTCTGCCGGCTTTCTGCAGACACGTCTGCTATCGGATGCAATTCTCGACCTCGGCATTGTGAAGAATCAACCTTATTCAGCGATGACAGCGTCAGCAATCTTGACGAAAGTTTTTCCGCACGCCGTTGGTATGTAATATATAATATGTATCCTTCACTTCCATGCCCTTCCCTTTTTGTTTTTTGGTTTACCATTTTTTTTGTTTTCCTTTCTGTGAAAGTTAGCGACGAAAGAATAGTTACAGACACGATGATTAGTTTTACATATGACTATTTTGTGTCAAGTTTCTAGAGCTTGTGTGCATTTAACAAAGAAAAAGAAAAAGGCGTGGAAGTGAAGGATACGAAAGAAGAATTGCAGAAAAAGTGCGCCGCAAGTATGGATACTAGTGATAGAAAATTCTGTAAAAACGTTTGTTTGTACTACTTTGTAGTTGATTTGGAGTTAAAAAAAAGGGGGGGGGGGGGGAAGAGGACTTAAAAATTTAAGTAGTGGTGAGTGAGTTTGGGTTAAGCGATCGAAAACGGGCCAAACAAGTCCCGCTAAATATTCTTTTAGTCCAGTTTGAAAGGGTGGATGGCTGTCCTATTAGATAATGAAAGGATTTTCTTCTTCTTTTTGGGTAAGTGAAGTCCAACTCTTAACATCTTGCGCATGCCTCTGCTCTCTTGCCTTAGTCTCCTTCGCGCTTCCTTTTTTTTTTTTCAAAGGGAGTCAGCTTTTATTATGGCTGAAAATCGGCTTCAGCGTCTCTTACACATTGGTACACACTCCACGCCTTCCTCCTCTGTTATGGCCGAGGAATCCTATGACAGTGGCATTGATTGCTCCCTCTTGGGGAGGATTTACCCCTGTTCACCCCTGTTGCCTCCTTATAGCTTCTTAAGACCGCAAGGCATTGATTGCTCCCTTACTTGGAGGATTTACCTCTGCTCCCTTCTACACCTATCCTACTTTCCTTCTGGTGAGTGGTTAAGTAACTTATGTTTTTCACGTCAATCCTCTTTGCACAGAGTGAGCAGACCTGCAACTTCGTCTTCAGTCGACCAGTCACGAGTTTGAGTCCCTCTAAAAACATTTCGTTTGTGTTAAATAAGACCAAACTTACCAATAAGCCTAGCTCAGTTGGTACACCCATGAATTGTTGAAATAGAGACCCAAGTTCGAATCCCGATGAATGACATAAAATGCTTCTCGATTACCTAGGGCCAGTCACTTCAATATCTCAAGTCTGTCTCTCCTTAAAAAAAAAAAAAAAGACCGAACTTCAGAGTCAGACTCTGCTGCTAAGCCTAATCTTTTCCGGACTTGGAAACTTGTTCGAGTTGTAGAGATGTTGATTGCCAGAGTTTTGGAAAATAATCAAAAGAAAAAAAACACTGTTGATTGCAAGAGTCATGTCAAGCCTGTCAAGTTCC